GGCTCCTTTGCACCATGACTGTTATCCTCCTTTGCTTAAATGAAGACATTTCTATTGAAATTAAATGAACAAAAATTTTCAATACGAGAAGGTGGTCTTATTATCAGACTTTCTTTCTCAGCGGCCCCAAAGGCACGCTGAGCGCCAATCTTTGAAGAAGCGGAGCATTTAGCAGAGTGAAGTAGCTTTAACGATGAATAAAGTGAAGAAGACATCAGCTTTAGAACTACAATGACCTCCAAGTATGTAAAACAGTCATCTAAATTCAGTGTTGGGTGAACGGGGGTAGAATGGCTTTGAGTGCTCCAGTAGTGCACATGAAAATCCCCAGTCAAGCTGAGTTGTTGACAAAGACGCACTACTTCAGTTGTACTAAGCACATTATTGTTGATTGCTCCCACTTACATTACCCTGAATGTAAAAAGCAATTCCCAGTTAAGAGTTCTAATGAAATGGCTGAGGAACCCATTAATTCATATAGTCAGATGATTTTCTATTGTTGCCAAGTGACAACATTAAGTGGCACATCAGGATAAAGAATGAAAAAGAGGTCAAAAAGAGGAGTAAGGCAGGTTGAAAGGAACTCGGCACTGAGGGGGAGATTTACTCACATTAAATATCCCATTTCCTTGTGAGCAGTTAAGCTGGAAGCTTGAAAAAAAGATCAGAAAACTGGAAAGGAAGTAGTTGGAGTTAGAGCAACTCAACTCTTCAAGGAAATCTCTTCCCAGATTGGCTGGTGCTCATTTCTTTTCGTGACTTGCCAGAAGGGGTTTGCTCCCACACATTCACGTATGATGTGGAAAACAGTAGACCAAATGAGCCTCTTTCACTTTGCTCTCATGACTTTTTTTTTTTCATCTGCGCTAAAGAAATGCTTTAAATACAAGGAACTGATAAGACAAAGGTTGATTAGGAATTCTCTCCCACTGTTAAATGTGTCAAGCCAGCCAAATGTCAGAGGATATTCTGTCAGAGGATATTGAGCCGACTGAAAATGTCAGACGGGGAGGAACCACGAGCAAAGAACAAGGGAAGGAAACAAAAGGAGAAAACTGGCACACATGTGTTGGTGTGACTCAGATATGGCAGAGCACCTGTCATCATTATCTTACCTAATGATGCAGCTTTGAGCTACTGTTTCTCTGCAGTTGTGACCTGCTTCTTTTGGAAGCAGTTCAAGTTTATCACCAGACATAACTTTGTAATGGCCAAGAAAATAGACTTTTAGCTTAAATGTTGGGTCAGTTACTCCTAAAATTGTAATCAGAACTTAATTGGACCTTTTATTCTCATCTTTCTTTTTGCACACAGATAGCACTTGTATGCGATAAAAAGATTTTTTTTTTTCAAAAACAGGAAAAGAAATGTCAATAAATTTTTCACTGGAAAAACAAATAAATGTATGGAAATGATTTGTGTCACAAGATCCAACAGGCTCCTGTTTTTGTTTTAGTTTGCTGTTTATGCTGTAGATTGGTCATAATTATTGCATGACAGGCCAAATAAATGATATGTGACGGGTAAGAAATGATGCAGACACCTTTGCCACAGTGATTATACACCAGGATGATGTGAATAATCAGCTTCAATACCATAAGTAATGATAGAACACATCAGGCGTTGTTCAAAAGTATTGACTGAGACACAGTGAATGACAAACCCAAGTCTGTCACATCAACATACAACGATGTAGTTTGTTGCTTTGAGCGTTAAAGTCTCACATTTTTTTGTTTAACAATTTAATTTGCCACCAAAACACTGTACTCACCAAAGGCTGTGTAGAACTCCTCTCTGGTCAGGTGTTCATCATCGTTGACGTCGTTGTACTTCAGCAGGTCGAACAGAGTGCACTCAGAGACGTCCTTGGACAGACCTTCTTGCTTGATGACCTAAATAAAGATGCATTGATTTTCGGTTAAAAAAGGTGGACAGTAGTTTCTGGAATTACTATCTTGATTTTTCGAACACCCAGAAGTTACAGTTTGATACAAAATGTGCTTTTAAACTTCCTGTTGGGACAAAAAGGAAAGGTCTTACAAAGCAGCAAAACACTGCTTGAAAACATTATATCTGCAAGTACTAGCCCAACCAATGTGTTGGTGCTCTGATGTTATTGGCCAATCACAGATAGATCGGTATCAGCCCATATGTTGTCTGATAGGTGCCACTATTATGGGTGTTTATTATGAATCATCCATCCATTAATTGCTGTTAATAATTTAACAGATTATTTAAAAACACGAAGGGCACGGATGTCAGCGTCATGTCTGTCAAGTTTCCGTTGTATGTTTGCACATTTCATGTCTTGTCTTTCCTGTTTTATGAAATTAAAATTCTTGTATATATTTGTCTTATTATCTTGTTTTATTTTTTATTAATATTTATTGTATTTTATTTTATTCTTTTCTTTCTGTTGTTATTTCACTTTTTTTAATTTGATTTTTTCTTTCTTTTCCTGTTTCTATTATTCCTGCTAGTTCCTAGGGTGACACCAACAGCCGAAACCAAATTCCTTGTATGTTGTGTACGTACGTGGCCATTAAAGCTGATTCTGATTCTTTTGTAATCACTAACCTGTTGTCTCTGTTTTAGGTTCACTTCCCGCACGCCCTTCCCCCATCTCGTCACACCTGCTCCCTGATTGTTCCCCTCACCTGTTTCCCATCCTCCCTCATTACCTCTTGTATTTCACCCTGTGTGTGTCTCACAGTCTCGCTGCCAGCTCGTCGTACTTCACGGTCCTCGTCCCAGCGTTTCATAGTCAAGTCATAGTCTGTTTTGTGTACGACCTCGTTTTCTGCCTTCGACCTTGACTTTTTGCCTCTCGTCTTTGGATACCTCTGCCTTACTGATTGATCACCGGTGTACCGAGCCCTGCCTGGTAATAAACCTGCCTGAACCTGATTGTGTTGTGCGATTGTGTCCACCTGTTCTGTGTTCCGTGAGTTCTTGACAGTCAGAAAACGTTTACTAGCTATAGTTCCTGGTTACACCACTGGACGAAGCCTTTACTGTTACCACTGTACTGGCATGAGGAGGCGATTTTCAATTCAGTTCAATTCAACTTTATTTGTATAACGTGGTTTTCAACATATGTCATCTCACAGCGCCTAACGTAGTGATGTGAAGACCTTACAGGTTTAAACAGAGAATCTACAGTTGCCTTTGGACTCCTTCTGAGCAAGTGGTCGGCAACAGTGGGAAAGAACCAACCCCCCTCCTTCAATGAAGGTTTTTTTTTTTTAATCATCATTCTGCTAAAACTTGATCCTATTCAACACCTTCTGCATGGCCCCGGCAGTAACACATCCATCATACTAGATCAGCTGTCAAAAAGCCAATCACATGGGACAGCTTTATACATCATGCGTTGTCCATCGGATCAGTGCGCTTCCCTACCCTGATGACTTGCCCAAAATTTAGGAGGCTTCAGTAATGGCATATCCTTAGTGTATCCTGGAAACACCAGCAGTAACAAACAGCTGTTGTGGTAACAGTCATACAGCTGCTCTCATTTTAAACCAGAGAATAACTGAGTGGTTTTTCAGAATACTGTAGATGAGACAGGAAAAAAAGGTAGCGAAACTCAGAAATACTCTTAACTGTCAGGTCCTTCCTTTTCTTCCGCCAGCCTTCAGTGGATTTATTCTGAAGTTGCAGTCTTTAATACTTAAACTTTATTTCTGACATGGCCTTCCTCCCCAAACACAGACTTTGATTCCTGCTGTTCTTCAGAATGTTCCACTTCTCTGTAAAGAAAGACTGTTCGAACACAGCAAAAAGAGCACTCTGGACATGTTCAGTGGCTTCCAGCAGACCCTGTAAACTCAATGATCTGAGGCACATCATTGACGGGATAACCAGATGTAATGTTTATTGAGATTGCAGCTTCTGCCTGTTTCAAATCGAACCCTAATTTACAAAGCCAATGGAACACTGGCTGGTTAGTCACACAGAACACCTATCTGACTTCTGGCAGTAACACTAAGCTATTACTACTTCATGTCAATATAGACTAGACTTCAGTAATTACACTCTACCCATTGTGGTCGTATAGACAGCATGCAGCATGGCTATATGTGAACAGACACATTGGAAAAATACAGCATGGAGCACTGGCTGACTTTTGAATGCCTTTGGCAAGGTCACAGCTGTGCACTGCTGCCCTCAACCAGCAGAACAACACTATTACTACACAAAACCACACGATTCTGATCAGGTAATGCTACTAAGTTAGTTTACTCCTTCTGTTTAACCTTCACAAACCTTCACTCTGGGCTCTTCCCTACTAACCATAACAATTTACATGTTTACTCTATTAATTCAAAGTTCAATTTTTGTTTGCCTCCTCCTTATCCAACTGCATTTGTTTTTCCTACAAACAACAACAACAAAAAATGTATTATATGTGTGTACAGAGGGTAACCTTCACACCTCTGTACATGGGTTTGCAAAAATAAAAAATAAAAAATATGACGCTTTGAGGATTTTTGAAGGTTATACACCTCCTGTGTCAAGATCTTTTGTACTGCTCCTGTTTAAAAAAAAATCCACAGATATTTTACAAGATTTGACAATTATTGTACCTATCCTGGCCCCCAAAATACTGAGACCGAAGGTCTTCTGTTTTTACTATTAAATCTAATGCAAAATACTTTTAGAACTACACAGCAAACTTTGGTATCTGTGGAGGGTTAAAAAGAGTAATTTTCCAAAATCTATGACCTTGAAATGTGCTTTTTGTGTTAATATAATCATACAACTTTTAAAAGAAGTCTGTTTGGCCTCAAGATGACAACATGTGCTTTGCCAGCCGAGTTACAACTTTTATGTGTGTCTGTTGCATTTTTCAGACACAGTAGTTCGAGCAGATGGGACAAGATCAGAGTCAGTAGTGGACAAGGTAGGCTTCTCATCTGTTTTCTAGTAAAGAGGTAAAAAATAAAAAAATCTCAGGCCAGCCCTGTCTTTAGTCAAATGATAGATACAGACAATGGATGAAGAAAAAAGAAGTTTTGATTTGCCATTTTAAAAGGGCAACTCAGACTAAAAGAGCAGGAACAATTGCTCCCCGTGTCTCTTCATGTGTACACTCTGGCACGCCAACCAACCAGGGTGAGGGACTTCCATCCCAGAACCTCAAATGAGATCACAGACTGCTTCAACTATAAAAGGCACTTTAGGGCACAATGGTGGCAGCCAGAGTTTTGCACTTTTAAATGCTGTTGAGTGTGTGATTTGCTTGTGCAGTGCTCTTTTTCAGGGCTCGCTCACACCGAAATTGAATTTACATTAACCTTTTTGTCTCCTTTCAAAATCATCTTTTGGTAATAAGGAAAAGCTCTGCTCAAGCACCAGGAGCTAAGAAAACACTCACATCGCCATGGCAATGCAATCAAAGAGAATCCCAACCTTTAATTGACTGTGTATGATATTGAAAATGTGCATTGTTCAGAGAGTAAATAAAAGTTCAGCAATAAATTACTCTGAAATTATATTCTGATGGAACGTTTAATACACTAGCATAAAAACTCATTAAAGCCCCAATCCATAATTACATTCAGGCGCTCTTATGTTGAGGCACTGTCAGCCCACAACTGTGTTTGTTTATTAAATGATTTATCAGACTGATGAAGTTATTTTGCTCTGATATTTATCATGTGATCATTATGCAGTCATTTTGACGTACGGTAGAAGTATGCAGAAAGTGTCCTCCTTATTTTGATGCTGTAAAGGTGTAAAGTTTCCAGTCAGTGCAGTATAGCAGACCTGTAGTTTGGACTGCAGTGACACTAACATATATTTCTGATATATTCTCCAAGCTAACACCGTGCTTAGTTAGTGTACCTCAAAGTCAGAAAGCATGTATTTATGTATGTGCTGAAAAAAACAAAACCCACAAAACTTTGACTTCATTTGAAATGATCATAAGACCACCTGCTTTCCACAGATGTTTTTAAATTTCTGTTAATTCTATGAATGCCCCCTTCTCTTCTTTCCTCTAAGAATAATTCCTGTGATCTCATATGTGTAAAGGATACAAAGGAGAGGAGTGCTAAAAGCAGTCCTTGAGGAATCCCTGAAAAGCAGTTCTCCATCTGGTTTATTAATTATTACTAGGTTCTGTCATTCAGACATCAAGGGAGATGTGTGATACAATGTGGCCTGGATAAGAAACAATGACATCACCAAGAGGTTTGAGAATCTGTCAAAAGTAATATTCAGTAGGTTGAAAGGTCTTATTCAAATTCACACTCAGAGCAGACGGAAAATATTATTTCATGAGACACGGCACAGCGTGGTGTGTTGACTGTGCGTTTTACTTACTAAGCATTGATTTCTCTGGTATTGGCATGGGGCAACATTTAATGTAAATGTATGTAAATAATATGAAAATATGGAGAAAAAAAGATCACTGTTTTTGAGGTGGTATTTAGATGCCAACTCAAAATCCTAGAATACATTCATATTAATCTGATCAGTCCTCCTCCATCAGGGGAGACCGACAAAGCTAACAAAGGTGACCCCTGTGCAGATGGGATATCCTGCTGGATCCGTAGGAAGATAGCCGAAGAAAAGGAACCGCTGTTATCATAGTTCTGAAAACCACTGCAGGTTGCTTACCCCTTCAATTATTCAAATATGTTCTGTATTAAATCAGTCCTGAGGTACTGGGAGACTTTATTTGTTATGCACAGAACACCTTCCTTCCTCACAGCGACCACAGAAAGCTCTTTTCACAACATCCCCCTTGGTAGTTCTGGTCAAAGGCTGCAGCCTCCCATGAGCACATGGCTCCTTTGACCCATATTGCTTTTCAAAAGATTTACCTGGAGCCACGCAGCACAGCGACCAGAGGGAAGGCTAAGATGAGGAAAATGAACATGATTGTGGCAGACATGAATGTGCCTGGCTTAAACACCTGGGCCCACAGATGGTTTGCTCATTTGTAGTATCCTTTTGATTAGATATTTAAATGAACATGACTGCAGGTTTTTCAGACCTGAGAGATACTGTGATTTGTCTTTGCAAAATTGTAAACACCATTTTGCTTCTCTACCTAAATGTTTTTAAAAAATCTCATAAGATCAGTGCTAGCTTGAGTCAAGGATTAAGTTGCATCTCACCGTCTTTGCAAAATAACTGACTAAATGAAGTATGCGTTGTTTTTTTTTTCAATCTTCGGAACCCCAAGCAATTTGTAGCATTTTTTGTTCTTGTCCCATTTTTACTCACTGTGGGCTCATTTTTCGATGCAAAATAATGTTCTGCACCTCTGTGGAAATGCAATTAAACGTCTATAATTATTCATTTTACAAAATTCAAAAAGCTGAAATCAACATCCATCCATCATCTATACACCGCTTAATCCTCACCAGGGTCATGGGGGGCTGGAGCCTATCCAAGCTGACTCAGGGTGAAGGCAGGGGACACCCTGGACAGGTCACCAGTCTATCACAGGGCTACACTTAGAGACAGACAACCAAGCACACTCACATTCACACCTACGGACAATTTAGAATCACCAATTAACCTCAACATGTTTTTGGACTGTGTGGGAGGAAGCCGGAGAACCCGGAGAGAACCCACGCTGCACGGGGAGAACATGCAAACTCCACGCAGAAAGATCCCAGTGCCCCCACCGGGACACGAACCAGCGACCTCCTTGCTGCGAGGCTAACCAACTGCGCCACCTTGCAGCCTGAAATCAACATGTGCAGCATTTTTCCAAGTCTTACTAACAATGAATAAAGGTGGTGACTCTATACACTGTAGATACTTTCCTACTTACATTTGTAATGATCTTTCATGCTGGTCTTCTACCTGCTCTGTATAAACACAACCTGCACGTCAACCAAAAAGTCTTTAAATTTTGGTCATGTGACTGTTGTTGCACCGAGGATGCAGAATTTTTTATTTTTATTTTTTCAACAATCTGCTCAAAGTAAATGATTTGTTCTTGGCACATTTTTAAATTAAATGATAAAAATGAAAGCCATTTTGATAAAATACCTGCATTTGGTTGTGTTTCTTGATTGAACATGCAGGCACTTATGATTAGTTCAAGGACCATTGAAAAGTTGAAAATCTAATGATTCTTCCTGGTTTTACAGCTTCTGATCCTGATAAATGATGTCATTTTTGCTGTTTTTGATGTTTTTTTAATCGTGCTTTTCAGCCCCACCAGGAGATTTTGGGGTTCAGAGGTTTAAAACGGCATCTCACTGAATATTTAAGTACATCTATTGGTCTATATCCTCACCTGTGAGATTTCGCTGGCATCTATCTGACCGTTGTTATCTGCATCAAAGCGTTTGAACATCATATCAACCAGCTGCTTCTTGGCTGCCATGTTGTCTTTGTGGGTCCCATGGATGGTTGACCCCATGTACCGCTTGTCATACAAATCCAGCATCTTGGTTTTCAGCCGGCGGTAGTCGCTCAATCTGCAGTTGTCATCTGGGAATACAGAAAACAAGGAGAAGCAACACGGTTAGGAGAGGGAGACAGTATTTATCACAAACTTGTAACAATCACTGTGACACAAGAAGACAAAATGTTTTTACCTTGTTTGGATTACTAAAAACAGAATTTAAATATTAGGGGGATGTCTGAAAACAGGTATTTCATAAATACCTAAAATGACACCCTGGTGCTGAAAAAAGCACATGATTAAGCAGTGAACTTATGATTCATAACACTAGATGCAACGTTTTATATCTCAGCCAATTAGCGCCTGTTCAAACTCGAATCCCCCCAGAAGATTCACATTATTAAACAATAAGCTCCTGTTTATATTCAGCAAAACCCAAATCTGAGCATGTCTGTGATTGTCTGCATCACAATAACAAATGCTAAGGATTATTTTCCCAAGGGGAGCACAAACAGTGACAGACACGCAGCATTTCGCCGCCTCAAACTAAGAAAGCAGCAGCTTCGTCAACACAAAGAAACTGACGAAGAAATCCATCACACAGGTGTCAAGAGCTAACCGTGACAGCAACAGAAAACATGATGGTGTTGTATTTACAATCCGCCATCAAAGGCTCTAGATCAAAGAATTCAACTACATGAAAGGTTCGGCGGAGTAGAGTGGAGCCAAAGAGAAAATAATGACTAGAACTGGAGGCTGACATATGTCATATCAAGTTCTCATTGTTAGATCGGGAAGTGTTTCTCCCTAATAACAGTTATATTAACTGATGTCAACCAGCTAACAAGAAAAAACTTTGTGTTCGCCGGGATGCTTTTCAAATCTCTGGGGAGGACGCTGACATCGCTGCCACATCGTATGGTGTGATCACCAACTCAGGGAAGATGTGTAATAATAGCTTCTACATGAAGTCTTGTGCGAGACAAATGAACTTTGGTGCGGATGATCGGACCAGAATGATTTAGTGAGTGGGGTAATGAGATCTCCTCTCGGTAGAACTGGGTGTTCACTGAGAGCCGATGACTAGTTACGCGGAATCAGAGCAGCCCTAGAAACCAGCGACATATCATTAGGACATGGATGGGATCTCGTTTTTGTCTCCCGGCATTCCTTCAGCAGAGCAACTTGAGCAATCAGTGAGCATCTAAATGAGATTCTTGATGCAATCCTGACGCTAACCATGATTTGGGTATAAGAGGCTGGAAGAAGTTCTCCTAATACTCTGCCAGGGAAAATCAGGGGGCTTTGCTCAGACGCTATCAAGTCATTTTCATCTCAGTGACCTTGTAACGTCCCCAAGGTGTCGAAACTGTATTCCTGGCATTTATGCAATATTTAGTACTGTGACAGAGAAAACAGTTATGAGATTATTTTTGGTTTAAACTCAAGCAATACTGGAGGCAATATAATACTCATTTCCCAAGGAAGAGTGCAAATAGTTCAATTCACTGTAAATGTACCTGATTAGAGACAATTTCCCTGAGCTCTAAGGTTTTTTGTAAACAATTACATTTTTCTTGAAACCTAAATAGTCCCAAATGCTTTCAGCTACAAATGGATGACAAATCAAAGGAAAATAACTTCAACAAATGTAGATTCTTTCATGCTGCGCAGCAGAGAGAGAACTTTTAAATACCGATAACAACACTTTAAACTTAGTCTATTTGCCGATGCTGAGTGGCCTTTTCGTGCAAGTTCTCTCAGTTTCCCAAAATTCAAATCTGCCCCGTCTTGCATGGCAATGAAAAGAGAAGGTTAATAAGGGTAGTATTTGTGGATTTCTTTTCCACACAGGTCACAAGGGTCAAGTGAATGATTTGATGAGTACGAAAACACTGCAAATCAGATGCTCTACTGTGACCTTAGCAGGAACTAACTCTCAACCCAAATGGATAACTACAGAGATGATGAAGCAACAAATCGAAGACATCATGGTCTTAACTGCAATTATCAAAACATCTAATGATGGGTTCAGAGAAAAAGCATCCGAAATCTTCTCATAAATTACTTACGCCTCATAAAAAATCTTATCATATTTGTTTTTCCTTTAATCTGTCCCCACCTCTATATGTTGTATTTTAAAGAGGCCTCAATTGTTTCTGGACTGTAGAGATGTTGTCTAAAAAGGAAAAAGAGTCTTGCAGTGCTTTGTTTTCTACTAACTTGAAGCCCCAGATAACCGAGAGCTTGCATAGCCAGGTGGAGAGAATTAAACATGAGCAAGAGGCTCTGGAACAATGCTTCAGTTTGTTTTAGCAGGTACACCTGTCAGTAAGACACAAACTGAGATGTTGACAGATGTTGGAGCTACACGCTCAGTCTGAGGCTTCCTACAACTAGCAGGGTGTGAACAACAACAGTGGTGGCTCGTAAGGACTTTTCTACCAGCCACAGCAGGTAACAAACCAAGTGGAGGATCCATTGAATTACAAAATTTGCTTTGGCTGTCAAAACAGTGAGAGTGGGTGGTGATTTCTTGGGAGTCAAAACAGCAAGTTTAATACTTGCCCTGGAAACTGCATCAGCTGTTAGAGCACAGACTGCAGCACGCTGCAAATCACGGAACAGGGTCTGTTTTGACAAGCGCCAGTGCCAGAGAAGCTGCCTTGGTCACAAATGGCAAAATGAATAAAAGATAAATGGCTGCTGGCGTACCCCGGGGATATGAAGGTCACCTGCGTCAAAGGAGCATGCACTGGCTCATGCATGCACGTATACATGGATACACAGATGTGCATACACAAAATGCTATGCTCACACATGCATGTACACATCCCCAAGTATTCAAACAGTACATGTCTACACAGACGAGTGTTGGCATTAATTAGGCAATGGCCAGAATAATTTGTTAAACTAACTAAGCCAACACGCCTTACTTGAGGGAACAAGGAATAACTGAGCAAAAAATCTGCCATAGTTTGCAGTCAAATCCAGGCGGATCCTCAGTCTGGTAAAAGTTTTCTGTGAGTGTCTGAGCTGCCCAAATTGCTTTTGAGCTAAATGGGACATATCAGAATGCAAACTGCCTGCTTACTTTATGTAACTGGTGGGATAATCACTCAACTAGCAAAAACCAATTTAGTCATCATCCTTTTTTTTTAACAAACCAGGGCTTCCCTATAAACTTTGAGGATTCAAATCAATCACCAGTTGAGAAGCCCCCAGTTCCAACTTTGTGCTGTCGGTCGAATCGTCGGCCTTTTCTGCCACTGCACTGTTGTAGACTGAGAAAAACAGGATGGCGGCTGTGAGATTTTACAAACCGCCCCTCATCTCAATATTACCTAACTGTGATAGAAACACCAGGGAAGAGCAGAGGGATGCTTGTGCTCTTTCCTGCTGAATACTAGTTAAAAAAAAAAACATTTCTTTGATTGCATCCATCTCTGATATCTTCACATCACAAATGAGGACGATGCACAGATACCAGGAAAGGTTCGTACACTGCTGTCTTACACACCAAACACAAGCTGCCCTTTGGAGTTTCTGACCACTATGTAGAAACGGGTTGCGGATCCCTGTTTTGTTTGTACCACACGTCGCGGAGGCATGCATATGGATGACACACACCAAACATGGACAGTGTTCAAGCAAGAGGTCAACGTGGCATACAGTTTCCCTGCCAGTTTCAAACTATTCCTGTGATCAACAGTTGGTGGTGTTAGCAGCGGGGAAACATAACAACTGTGCCAACAAAAGTGGGGAAGAAGAAGAAGATGATGGCCAGCAACTGTAGAAGTAAACAAAATAATATTATATGAAATGGCTTAAGAATTAAAGACCTACCCACAATTGAAGAATGGACCAAAATTCTACAGGATATTTACATTTTGGAGAAGCTGTCGTTTTCTTTCAAGGGTCAAAGGGACTCTTTATTCAGGATTTAGTCAAAATGGACAGAATCTGTAAAACCTGTAACCTCTGTGAATTGAATATGTCTGTTATATGAAAACACTTTCTGATATACGTTCTCCTTTTGGTTTGTGTAAACATACACACTCTAATGTGGGTTTTTTTTGGATGTGAGAAGAAATGGAGCAAACCCTCTCCTCCCGCTCATTTGTTTTGTTATTCTATTAAAAACCTGGATTAGCAATGAATATTCTCACAACCACAAATTGAACACTACCCAGAAAAGAAGTTCGGTATCATTTGCTTTTCCAAATAAGCAATAAATTAAAAAAAAAAAAAAGAAGAGTGGAAGACCTCAAGGATACACACAAACTTATTAACAGAAGTTTTCTTTATTTATTAGGACACTTAAGTTGCTGTTGGAGTTTACTGTGGGAGGCTCAGCTACAATATATATTAATAATATTGATGTTTTTCCATTCTAAAACGGGAAGTGTTAAAATGTGTACAGCAAGAATAGTTGTGTACTTTACAGTGTGACATCAGAGGATGTAACAGCAGTTCCTCATTTGAACGCTGTTTGTGGCTTCCATCCGATGACACCTGAATGTAGTGTCACATGGGAGGATGTGCGGGAAAAAAAACCCTTAGATGCAAGTGTTTTCTGAACCTGTTAGTTTTCACACACATTCAACACGACAGTGTGACCTTCATATAAGCTGCTCTAAAAAGAAACCTTCTACAGGAAGGCCTACAATTTACATCTTTGTTCGACAGTAAGAAAGAGAAGCTGCATTCAGCTACGGACAGTTTCTCTTTTAATTGCTTTGAAATGCTTAACGTGTGATCCAATCTTCCCCTTTACCCCCAAAGCAATCCTAGAAATTCTTAAACATCTTTTTATCATTAACACATACTAACAACACCATCGTTGTTTTTGCAACATCCCAGCTGAGCAAACACTGTTCAAGGAGAGCTAACTGTGTTGGAGTGGAACACTTTACTATGATGCTGCGTCTGTCAGTACTATTCATGGATGAAACAAATGACATTCTCCACGGACAGAAGGTTCTGTGGAAAGCAGCTGATGTAACTAATATGGGTCATGTGGAGTCAAGCTATTAAAGTTTTTCATCTGGTCACAGGAGCTTTTATGCTCGGTATTACATGCCAC